ACTGGGGGCACAATATGTGGACTGGATCCAGCAAAAACTGATTCTCTACTTCTTCTTCTTCTTTAAGTTCCATCTTCTATCGAAGGTTGGAAATCATCATGGCTATGCGGACTCTGTTGACCGCCGCTCTAAAAAGTTCTGCACCACTGCATTCAAACCATTCCCTTAAGTTCTTAAGCCAGGATATTATTCGTCTTCCCACATTTCGCTTTCCTCGGATTTTGCCCTGAATAATAAGTTGTAATAATGCGTATTTTTGCCCTCTCATCACATGTCCCAAGTACTCAAGTTTTCGTCTTTTAATAGTTAATATTATTTCCGCCTCATTTCCTATCCTTCTAGTTACTTCCATGTTTGACATTCTTTGAATCCATGATATTCGTAGGATTTTTCTGTAACACCAAAATTCAAAGGCGGCCAGCTTATTCAGATGAACTTGTTTGAGTGTCCAAGCTTCCAGACCATAAAGAAGAGTAGAGAACACGTAACATGGAAGCATTCTCAAGCGTAGTTCTAACCTTATATCCCGACAACAAAGAAACTTTTTAAGTTTAATAAATGATGTACGTGCTATTTCAATACGTGTCTTAATTTCTTTGGTTTGGTCTACATCTGATGTTATCCATGTTCCTAAATATTTATAGTTATTAAACTTCTCAATTGCAGTATCTTTAATAGTCAATTGAATATTTGCATATGCAGATTTAGTCATGATCATGCTTTTAGTTTTCTTTAAATTTATTTTCAGTCCGTACTCATGACAGCGTTCATTAAGGCGTTGCATTAGGTTCTGTAAATCATTGTTGTTATTCGTAATTATTACTGTATCGTCTGCAAAACGTAAGTTATTCAAAACTTCTCCATTGATAGATATACCTTCTATTGAGTCTGAGAGCGCTTCTTGAAATACCGCTTCACTGTAGACATTGAAAAGTAGTGGGGACAGCACGCAACCCTGGCGGACTCCTCTCTGTATTTTGATATTTTCGGTGTACTGGCTGTCAACTCTTACCTTGGCAGTTTGATTCCAATATAAATTAGATATAATTTTCAGATCATGACTGTCAATATTTTTGCTTTTTAATATATCTACAAGCTTTTTATGTTGAGTTTTATCAAATGCCTTTTCAAAGTCTACAAAACATAAGTACATATCCTGATTCATGTCCATGCATCTCTGAGCCAGCACATTCAAGCCGAATAAAGCATCTCTTGTACTCATACCATTTCTAAAGCCAAATTGTGTGTCACTAATCTCATATTCAAGAGTTTTAACAATTCTGCTGTGAATTATTTTCAAAAATGTTTCAAGTGTGTGACTCATTAAAGCTATTGTTCTGTGGTCTGAGCAAGTTGTTGAACTTGGTTTTTTGGGAATTGCTACAAAGGTTGATTGCAGCCATTGTCTGGGGATTGTGGCAATCTGATATATTAGATTAAAGAGTTCAACCATTACATCAATAACATCTTCATCGATGAGTTTTAATAATTCGATGGGCACCTCATCTGGTCCAGTAGCTTTACCCTCTTTTGTGTTTTTGATGGCATAGATGACTTCTTCTCTTAATATTGGTGGTCCAGTATCCTCGGTGATTTCTAATGACAGTTCTTCTCTTTTATCATTAAATAGTTGTTAAATGTAATTGGTACAGTGACATAATCTCTCCTTCATATCAGTAATAATATCCCCTTTATCATTTTTAAGGATATTCGTTTTTGTACGCTTTCTAAAACCTGTCATTTCTTTGATTTTTTTGTGTAAATTAAAGCTATCGTACTTTTTATCCAGATCTTCTATTTCCTTGCATCTATCGGAGAGCCAACTCTCTTTTGCCTCTCGAATTTTCTTTCTGATGTTTCTCTGAATTTCTTTGTATTTATTCAAGTCTTTTGCTTCATGCTTTCTTCGTTCTTCCATGAGTTCAAGAATTTCTACTGTCATCCAAGGTTTTGTTTTTTCTTTAATTGGTTTGAGGGTTTCTTTTCCAACTGACACAAGGGCATGTTGAATTTTTCCCCATTTTTGGTCAATAGTTAGAGTTTCTGCATTATCTTCTTTGACTTTCCTTAAGCTCTCGTTTATTTTAAATTTGGTTTCCACATATGTGTTGTCTTGTTTGAGACGTCTTGTATCTATGATTTTCTTGGTGCTTCTTGGTGATTCTCTACGCACTGTATGATCTCCCTGTGGATGAGTGTTACAATTTAAAGTAAACTTGGTGTGGAAACGTTCCAGCTTTAATCGAAATTAATTAGTTTGAACGATGATTATGATGACCATAAATGGTATGGAGGAACCACTTCCTCCACGTATATATTCTCGATTATGTCTACTGCCTACTATTGATATTCGTTAATAAATGTGAACGGAGAAATATATCTGGGTCACGAAATTAAGATAAGTAAGGACAATCAAACAACCGAAGTATCCAGAAGAATAACACAAGGATGGGCAACATACGGAGCTCTTAGGAACGTTTTTAAGAGTGACATCCGAACTAATATGAAGAAAAAAGTTTTCGATCAATACGTGCTACCGGTGATGACCTATGGTGCAGAAATATTATCGCTCACAAAGGAAAATGCACAAAAACTAAGAGTAGCGCAGAGAAGAATGGAGCGATCAATGATAGTGGTTACTCTGCGAGACAGGATTAGAAACGAAGATCTACGAGCTAAGACCAAAGTCATAGACGTCATTGAAAGAAGCTGTAACTTAAAATGGAAATGGGCTGGGCACGTTGCCAGAATCAAGGACGGAAGATGAACTCGCAAACTAGTCGAATGGAGACAAAGAGCCGATAAACGTAGCAGAGGAAGACCACCAACACGATGGCAAGACAACTTACGAAAGACACGAAAAACTGGATGCAGCAAGCACAATATAGAATACTTTGGAGACAGATAGGGGAGGCCTATGTCCAGCAGTGGATTGAAAGAGGCTGATGATGATAATTATGAGTGCGTGTCTGATTTGGATGTTCGATCGTTGAGGATTAGGTATCGACAGGATTTCAAGGAAGAGGACAGCGGGATGCTCCTCATATTAGTCGCTTTTTACCATCAAGTCAGGAGATACTGTGGGTGAATTCTATGCGGGCCACTCAAAATATAGACAAATCAATAGAAACTTGTTGAAATGGCTGCCATTACCAAGAGTAGTAATGCTAATTTAAAGTTTTATCCTTTTTAGAAACATCTTTTATATTCATCCGCAGACAATTAGGATCTTCTTCTTCTTTGGGTGCCGTGTCCGTATTCAGACGTAGGCCGTCATCATGTTTACAATTTCCTAAAACCTTTCTCTGTTGGCTGCTGCGCGAAATAATTCTTCTACTGTGGATCCACACCATTGTCTAATATTACGCAGCCATGAAAGTTTCTTTCGATCAATCCATCTCTTTCCTTCCACTTTTCCTTGTATTATAAGGCGAAGTAAATGGTATTTGGGTCCTCTAATTATATGGCCGAAGTATTCTGTTTTTCTCCTCTTTATGGTGTTTATGAGCAGACGTTCTGAGTTGATCATTTGAAGAACATCTTCATTGGAAGTGTGCGAAACCCACGATATCTTTAGGATTCGTCTATAGCACCACATTTCGAATGCTTCTAACTTGTTTAGCATTGTGGTTTTTAACGTCCATGTCTCACAACTATACAATAGGATCGACCACACATAACATTTCAGGACCTTCTTACGAATGTTCATTGACAGGTTTCTGTTGCATAAAACTGGTTTTCAGGTCATAAAAGCCTTACGTGATATTTCAATCCTGGATATTATCTCTTCATCAGAGTCACAATTTACATTTAATCAGCTGCCAAGGTATTTGAAATGATTTACCCTTTCTATCTCTTCTCCATTAAGAGAAAGCAGACCTTGATCTATATGGATCTTTCCAACTGCCATCCACTTTGTCTTTGAAATGTTGATTTTTAGGCCTCTCCGATAAGTTGCTTCACTGACTAGATTTAGTAATGTTTGGAGATCTTGTAAACTTTCTGCAAGAATGGCTGTATCGTCAGCGTATCTAATATTGTTGATTACTTCTCCACCTAGTCTTACTCCCTCTTGTCTGTCATCCAAAGTATCCCTAAAGATTTTTTCAGAGTACAGATTAAAAAGAGTGGGTGACAAAACACAACCCTGCCGTACTCCACGTTTGATGGGTATTTTTTCAGTGGGACTGTCTCCAATTTGGATAGAGGCTACTTGGTTGTAATATAAGTATTTCAACAGTCTTATATCATAGTGGTCAAGTCCTGCTTCCCGTAGGCAGTCGAAAAGTATATTGTGTTGGACTCTGTCGAACGCCTTCTCGAAGTGGATGAAACAAACATAAACATTCTTTCGGAATTCACAACTTTTTTGTAATAGAACGCGCATACAGAATAGTGCCTCTCTAGTTCCTAGACCGTTTCTAAATCCAAATTGCTTATCACCCATCTTACTTTCGCATAGAAGGAATACTCGGTTTTGTATAATTCGTAAGAGTATCTTCAGTGTGTGACTCATCAAACTGATTAGTCTAAAATCGCTGCATTTGGTGGGCCTGCTTTTCTTTGGTAATGTTATAAACAGCGACTCTAACCAATCATCTGGTATTTTTCCTTCGTTGTAAATTTTGTTGAAGAAAGTGGTTAAGCAGGCAATGCTTTCCTCATCCAAAAGTTTAAGTAGTTCGGCAGGAATTAGGATCTGAAAGCAGACAATGCTTCGATATTTAACGAGCTTAGAGGTACAGATTGCAGTCTTTTAGTGCTTCAGACCAATCTACAATATTAAAGAATTGTTAAACATTGTTCACAATCTTCGATAAAAACAGGGCATTATCTAAAAAGCAAAAAATTTAAATATACAAATATTAATATTAAAAAAACGTGTATTTAATTTACACCAGTAATTAACCTCGACTTTTAAACAGATAATAGGTTTACATCCTCTTGGAATTCAATGTTATTGTGTGCCAATACATAGTAAATGTCTTCTTTTATTACAGAGAACTTACTACGTAAATTACCCAATAACAGGATCAGATTACTACGATTACTACTACTCGCTCACTTCACCCTCAACGTATTATTCTCCAAAGCTGTACAGATGGTACTCTTCTTGGCCAAGTCAATACCGTACGTATTGGCCCTTGTACAGAACCTACCTCAGTAGATATTTGAGAAACTATTACCAACATCTCGACTGGCCCAGTTATTACTGGTCCACTTATCTACCCTACACCAAAAACTTGGACTACGAATTTAGCGATATCGAAAACAGAATCGATAATCTTCGAGTGAGTACTGGTTTGATATTGTGAAAGTCGGTCTTGTTGAAGTCAATCGTTAGTGTTTGATACTATACATTGTGAAAAATTGACACTTAGAAGAATGATGTATACAGATTGAACGAAATAAATTCGGAACATAGGAATATAATGTATTTCGGCTCAATTCTGCTGTAAGTGGTTGGCCAACAAAAGATTGTCAAATAATTATGTTATAAAAATCCCATACTTCAGCGGGCTGCTGGATTCTGAACTCATAAAAATTGAAAGCTACACATAAATCTACGATTTATGCTGTCAAACCAGTTATAGTCCAGGAAATGAAGTATTTCACCTCGCAATTTTTTCGTGCCTCGTGGATTGACTTGAAATTTAACAGAAGGTAGGTAATAGCCTAAGGATCAAAATCTATATCGAACCAAAGTGCGCCAAAGCCTAGGGGTGGTCGCCACCCCATCTCTGGGGTGAAAATTTTTTTACGTTTTAACTACAGGTTTCGATTAAAAAAAGTGATTCTAAACAAAAAATGTGCTATACATTTTTTTTATAAAATGATATTTTTCAAGTTATTCGCGATTGAAAGTAACAACTTCTAGACGAAAAAATCCACGTTTTCAATCGATTTTTCGCGAATAACTCGAAAATGGTGCATTTTATCAAAAAAATTGTAGAGAACAAATTTGTAGCTTTTAAAAAGACAAATACAATTCATTTTTTAAAATGTTTTTGAGTGATGTGATGTTTTGTATATGATGTTGATATAATAGGAACCAAAATACGGCCTATCAATGTTCAGCGGTTTTCTTCAGATGCCAAATTTGAAAGATTCAAAGTCAAATAAGTATCGGGAAAATGATGCATTTTTGGAAGAAAACTCACAAAACCTTTTTTAAAGAGCATAAATAGACATATCATAAAAAAGACTCTAGCTCAAAAATTGAGTGAGTTATGATGAAAATAAGGTCAATACCTCATTTTTTACGAAAAAACCGATGAAAACAACCCCCTAACCAGCCCCATAATTAAAATCGATCTTCACCCTTCTGCAATTCCCTTTGTACATGTATTGTTAATACGTCCAAGAAGTTTGACCCATTTAAAATGCTTTGTGTTAGAAAAAGTAAAGCTTAAAGCGAGAAACGATTTACAATTTCATATTTTTTACCCTTCTTTTTTTTTTAATATCCCGAAAATACTGAATATATGAAAAAAAAGAAATTACCAAATTGTAGCTTTTTAATGTCTAAAATTATCATTTATTTAGATTTGTTGTACAATGAATATTTGGCGAGATATAGCCGTTTAAAGCATCGATTTACGATCAAGCACCATCTTTTTCGAGCCCTTTAAACTCACCCCATTTAAAAACCAAGGGTTCCAAAAGATTTAATTCACAGATCCTTGTAGCTCTTAAAAACCTCAACAAATCGTTTTTGAAGAAACACTCTATCGTTAAAAATTAAAGGAAATACGTTAAAAAAAACAGTGAATTTTTTTCCGGAAAATTCCATTAGTATTAGTACAGTACATTTCGGAGCATAATAATCTACAAAACCGGTATATTAGCTAGTGGGGCGTTATACATTCGAAATTTTAAGCGTTCTAATTTTGAAATCCCATACAACAGAATAAAACATCTGCTCATATGTCTATGGCTTGGCAATGAAAATATCAGAGCAACAGATTGGGGATGGTATTCCAAAGATGGTTTGTTATTACCCGTACGCATGAACAAACAACCTGCACTCGATGAACTTTTGAAAATTATTTTTTGCCAATGCAAAAAAGGATGCGGTGTTTTATGTGGGTGCAGAAAAGTTGGTTTATACTGTAACTCTACTTGTTCTGGTTGCTCAGGTGAAGGGTGCAATAATAGTTCACCAATAATTGAAGATGAGGATGACATAGATCACGATGAAGATGTAATTGATGACGAATAAGATTAATATTATAATCGTTTTACCTATAAATGTAAATATTTTCAACTATTTATGTAAATGTATAAGAATATATGGTGCCTTTTTATGTTGATAAAATTTTTTTGTATTTAATTCTACTTTTTTCAATTTATATCTTATAAATTAGTTTATAAAAACTGCAATGTTGTAAAGGGTGATTTTCAAAAGTTGAAAAATTGCAAAATTTTGGCAAAAAATTGTTTTCACCGATAGCACTCGTAACAATTGATTTTTAAGGGTTGAAAATGTATGAATTTGTATTTTAAAGTATATAAAAATCACTATTTAACTAATCCTAACCAAATTTCACTCATCTTAAGATTTATAATATTATTTTACAATTTTTGAAAATTAGGGGTAGTTTTCACCCTAAGAACAATCAGGGTTCATCGGCATGACATAAACTATAAAGCAGAGGGTGAGTTGAGCTTAATTCCAAATTTTTATGCAAATCGTTCCAAGGTGAAATCATTTTCTTCGCATTACTAATTTTTTTATATTAATCTCTAATAAGGGTCGCTTTTTAAGGGCTGAAATATGATGGAACTTTATTCAAAAGCACGAAAATATCATTATTTAATATAATTCAAACCAAATTTTACCCATATTCAGTTTAATATGTTATTTTATAATTTTTGACAATTAGGGTAGTTTTCGCCCCTAAGAACAATCAGGGTTCGTCGACATGACATAAACTATAAAGCAGCGGGTGAGTTGAGCTTAAATCCAAATTTTTATCCAAATCGATATAAGGCGAAATCATTTTTTTAGAATTAGTAATTTTTTTACATTAATCTCTAACAAGGGTTGCTTTTTAAGGGTTGAAATATGATGGAGCTCTATTTAAAAGTATAAAATAATTATTATGTAACTATTCAAACCAAATCTTACCCATATTCAGGTTTAATATATTATTTTAT